AGCCAGAGTGTTCCTTGGAGGCCAGGATGGCTAAGCTTTGTCTCTCATACTTTGGACATATTGTCAGGAGGGAACAGTGACTGGAGAAGGATGTCATGCTGGGTAAGACGGAGGGTCAGAGAAAAAGAGGAAGACCCCCAATGAGATGGATCAGCCAGGTGACATAACTGATGGCATCAAGTGTGACAGAGCCTTGGAAACACCAGGAGGCAGTTCTAGTCCATCCTATTGGGTTAATATGAGTTAGAATCAACTCACCAGCAATGGGGTTAAACTGCCTCCCTGTGACCATGTCAGTTCTTCTACACAATGTACTCTAACTCCCTTAGTGTTTGACATTGTCCAGTTCCATACTTTTCTTCCTCATTATGCCCTTCTGCATGTCCGAGTTGACATAAAGTACTGCATTATATGAGAACAAGAACTGGGTTTTCTCATGGTTTTACAGAGATTACTACAGACAGACAATTCCTTGGAACTCACGTTTGCTGAATGAATTATTCCCAAATCCAAAGAAGTCCTGAGGTAAGAGAAGCCTTGTAGGGTTGTCATCCTGGGTTTCTGTGCCCATTGCAGCTCCAGATTACAGGGAGCCTCTACCAAATCTGTCCAGTCCAGACACCCAGCCTGCCCCTGTCTCACATCTTCCAAGACTGAGTAGCATGTGGGCCTGCTGACTGAGCCTTGCTGAGAAGGATTACATGCCACGCTGTGACTTCAGGACACTGTAGATTAAGCACTAGACTGCAAGGTCGGCCATTCAAGCATACTGGTCAATCCTCGGAAACCCTACGAGGTCACTATGAGTCGGAATTGACTCCACAGCACTTAACAACAACACATCAGAACTGAAGTCTTTTTTCAGCTTGGAGTACAAGCTTGGTTACAGCCTAGTTAGTGACTCCAAAATCTAGTAAATCCACAGATTATCCATAAATAACTCTGGAATCTCGTATGTTCATAGGCTATTCCTAAAATTGTTACCTTCCCTCAATGATAAGACAGGAAAAGGAGGTGGTCCTGGTAAGGCTATTTGCATTCTGGCTCCGAATCATGAAGCCCATTGCTTTTCTATAGGCACTGGGATGCTGCTTTAGCTGCTCTGTCTAAGGAATGGGAGGCCCCCCGCCAGGGCCAACTGCTGCTGCAGGAGGCAGACCTGTCGGCCCTCCGGCTTTTGGAAGCCTTGCTTCAAACCGGGCCCCACCTGCTCCTTCAAACATATATGTTTCTAGCCTCTGACTTCACAGATACTGTTCCAGGTGAGTAACTTTCACAATGAAACCCAACTGACCAACTACCCAAGGGGGACAAAAATACATTCTTTATTCAACAAAACCCCCAATCTGTCTCCTTGCTTGAAAAAATCAGGTATCTCCTTAGGTGGTGCAGATTGTTAAGGTTTTGACTACTAGCCAAAGGCTGACAGTTCAACCCCACCCTGAAGTGCCTTAGAACACAAGTCTGCTGATCTGCTTCCAAAGGGTCACAGCCTTGCAAATTCTATGGAGCAGATCTACCCTGACACATACATGGAGCTGTCAAGTGGTAGAGCTGACTCCACGGCAACTGACAGCAGTAAACAGCCCACAACACACTCTGATAGTTCAATTTGGCTTTCATTTGGAGTTTTAAGTTCCTAGAAAGTTGATTATTTCATGGAGTTTAGGTTCTAAAGTCTGTCCATAGGAGAGAAAGCATATATAGCCACAATTACCCTTGAAAATAAGGAGCTCTGGTAGTGTGGTGGCTATGAATCGGGCTGCGAACCACAAGGTCAGCAGTTCGAAACTACCAGCTGTTTCGTGGGAGAAAGATGAGACTTTCTGCTCCCTTAGAGATTTACAGCCTCAGAAACTCTATAAGGTTGCTATGAATCAGAACCAACCCCACGGTACATAACAACCACAACAACAACAACCACAGAGGGCTTAGAGGATCCATGACTTCAATTTTTTTTTCTAAAGGACATAGAAAGGAAGTGCCCAGCTAATTTTCTGGGAAAGAATATCTACTACACTGAACAAGAGTCCTCGCTTCTTTCTCATTCATTTCTTTCAGTATATACACATGTGCATTGGTACATAGAATTGTTATGTTCCTACTACAGGTGAATGTGCTATTGAAGTCAAATTTTAATAAGAGGTTAGATTTCACACAGAAGAAACTTCATGAAGGAGTTTTTATGTAGTGCTGTTGATTTAAAACTAATGTCTGTTCACCTCTCTTCCAGGGGTGAGTGCCGTGTTTTCCTGGTTTTCACTGTCCTGGGCTCTGGTGTCCTATGCTCGTTTCATGGGCTTCATGAAACCAGGCCACCTCTCCATGCCATGGGCTGCCCTTGTCTGCCAGCAAATCTGGAGGATGGGCATGTTGGGAACCCGCGTCCTGAGTCTGATTCTGTTTTACAAAGCTTACCACATCTGGGTTTTGGTAGTTGGAGGTAAGCTGAGCATATGTTCTGGTTATGTATTGCCATGTAACCAAAATCACCAAACGTGTTGCTTTTGAGTTGATTCCAATTCATAGCAAACCATTAGACAAAGTAGAAATGCCCCTTAGAGGAGTTTCCAAGGCTGTAATCTTTACAGGAGCAGACTGACTCACCTTTCTCCTATACAGTGGCCAATGGGTTCAAAACCCTGACATTTTGGTTAGGAGCCCTGCACTCAACCATTGGGCCACGAGAGCTTCTCTGTTGAATAACAAATGGCCCCAAAGTTTAATGGCTTAAAATGTGATCTCCCAGGTTCTGGGCTGGTTTTCATGTGGAGTATCACATGTGCTTGTAGTACAATAGCAGCGGTCTGGATTCATTCAGAGGCCCAACTAGCTGGACTTACAAGATGCCTTCACTCAAACATAGAAAATCTCAGTGCCCTTTCTCTTCAGCAAGATAGCATGGACTTCATGCATGTTGTTGTTGCTGAGTGCTGTCAAGTCGATTCCAACTCATAGCAACTCTGTACAGGTGCCCAAGAAGCAGCCAGTGGATTTGAACCACCAGCTTTGTGGTTCACAGTCCAGTACTTATCTGATAGTACCACACCATGAGTCCTGGACTTCATGCCTGGCAACTGAGAATTCCAGGAGAAAGGAGGTAGAAACTGCCAGGCGCCGAACTTGCACAGTGTTGCCTCTGCCACATTCTGTGGTGTTGTTCAGCTAAGATTCATAAGTGTACAGGGATGAAAAGTATTCATGGTGGCTATTTTTAGACATAATCTTCCATAGCTCAGATATCCAAACCTCAAAAGTCCCAGCTAACTCTAGAGTTAGCTGTAAGGATTCCTAGGTACAGTGCCAAGTTTTCTGTATCCATGGATTGAAATCTTCTCGTTAGAAAAGCTGTCACTCAAATAGGAGAGAGGTCTTACCTTCCCAGACCCAATTTTACTTAGAGTCTTCAAAAATTGGTCATTTTGTTTAAATGCTGAATATTTGGTATCTTTTCTGTTTCCAGTAGAACATCTGCACTGAGCCAGGTCTTCCTCTGCCCTCAGTTTGGCAACACCCAGACATGAGTGATGATGGCAGGAAGTCAGCTGACTGTGCAGGGCAACTGAATGAGTCCTGTGTGCCTCTGCCAAGAAGGGGGTTCTTTCTGGTCATCAGTGAATGCACTCCACAGCAGAAACAGTGCCCTCTTGTTTTAAGAGTACTGAAGAAGTTGAGAAAAATTTAAATCTTAGGTCTAGCATAAACATTAATGCATTTATTGGCAGAAAAGAGAATTTTTAAAAGAAAGTATGCTCCTAAAGCAAAATTGTCAATTATATCATTATTGATTTTTCGAAAAATTCAACTTGAGCTCTTATATGATAATATTCATCTAAAATATATCAATAAAAATTACAGCCAGGTAGATCACTTCATGTTCTTTCTTTCTAGTGTGGAGGGTCTTAGCTCTTGTAGTTACAACTTAAAAAGCTCCTTAAACACTTTGGGGGCCCAAAAGAGACAAGTAGATACTAAGTGGTAATTATTCTTGACATGAGTCTTTTTTTTCACATATAAGTTAGGTAAAAGGACCTTCTTAAGGACCTAATAAGAGAATGTAAGGAGCTCTCGTAGCATAGTAGTTATAAGTCAGCCTGTTAATCTCATGGTCAACAGTTCGAAATTACCAGTGGTTCCTCAGGAGAACGATGAGGCTTTCTCTTCCCATAAAGATTTACAACCTTGGAAACCCTATACAGGGTCACTATAAGTCAGAACTGACTCCACAGCACATAACCACCACCAATAAGATTTACAACCTTGGAAACCCTATACAGGGTCACTACGAGTCAGAACTGACTCTACAGCACATAACCACCACCAATAAGATAATATATGAAGGGATCTTAAAAAGTTTGTGGAGAACCTAGAACCATTCTATGATGGTTACTAGCAAGCTCTGGGAGTGTGGTGGAGTATAAGTTGGGCTGCTAACCACAAGGTCAATAGTTTGAATCTGGCAGTCCCTCCTTGGGAGAAAGATGAGGTTTTTATTGCTACCATCCAGATTTGGAGCCTTGAGAACCCTGTACAGGGTCACTATGAGTTGGAACCAACTTGGTGGCATATGACTACCACCATCATCACCATGATAGTTACTTGGTAAAGGGAGGGTATTCATAGGCTAGAGGGTAGACACATGTTAACATGGATGACGTGGCAGGCAATATAAAACAAGAGGGAGGTTACAGAGGAAAGAAAAAGGTAGTGGGAGACACGAGGAGAAATGGAGGAGTTAAAGTGAATAGAGGTAAATACTGTTAACTGATGGTACATGAAGGGGATTGCAGTCATTGTAATGAAGCAAAGTATATGGTTTGTTGAAAGTAAAACTGATCATCTGTTCTATAAACCGTTTACTCAATTCACAATAAAAAGTTAAGAAAAAAAAAGTTCATGGAAAAATTCTACTGTCTTTCAATTCCATTTTTCCTTGAACTTTTTAAAGCCTCTTGTACACTGCGGATAAAATGTATTGATTTTCTAGGCCTCTCAGGTCTTTGGTGGGTTTCAGTCTCTCTTCTCAGTCGGAAGTCTGAGTCAGGGATGATCGGAGAAGAGAGTGGTGTGTCCAAAAGCTCTGGTGTCTGTGTCCTTGGCAGACTCACCTTCCCTGAGCCTCCCCTCCGAGACCCTCCCTTCCACTGTTCTGGCCTCTCCCCAGGTGCCCACTGGCTGGTGATGACGTTCTGGCTTGTGGCACAGCAGAGTGACATCATCGAAAGCACCTGCCACTGGAGACTGTTCAACCTGCTCGTTGGGGCTGTGTACATCTTCTGCTACCTTAACTTCTGGGACAGCCCTTCCAGAAATAGGATGGTCACATTCTACTTGGTAAGTGACTCTTAAGAAGTTTTAATATATACATATATATGTGTGTGTGTGTGTATACTAGTATATGCATATCTATTTAACAAGGAATAGCTTAGTTTTAGGAAAAATCCAAAACAGAAGTATCGTTTTGAACAGAGATGACAGGCTCTGAAAATAATAAATAAACATCCAATTGTTTCCTAATCATTATGTTAATAACTAATGTATCTGGTATTTTTTTTTTCCTTTAACTACTCTCTATACCAAGGAGCTCTGGTAGCGTAGTGGTTACGAATCGGGCTGCGAACCACAAGGTCAGCAGTTCGAAACTACCAGCTGCTCCGCGGGAGAAAGATGAGGCATTCTGCTCCCGTAAAGATTTACAGCCTCGGAAACCCGGTTCAGGGTTGCTATGGATCGGAACCAACTCCACAGCACTTAACAACAACAACAACTCTCTATACCAGACCATTTGATAAATATAATTACACATTAACAATATATGTCATATACACAACACCCATTTTAATCAACTCAATTTCTAAGTGTTCGCTATTAAGTTCAAGGCATTGTTCTAGATAGTATAAAAAGCAGAAAGATAATGTGCAATGCCTGTCTTCAGGTTGCTTCTAGTCTACTAGGGAGGATAGGCTCTACACCCAAATCACCAAAACACAAGGAGAAAACTGGTAAATGATGATGTTGTTAAGTGCTGTTAAGTTGGTTCTGACTCATAGCGATCCTGTATAGGGTTTCTAAGGAGCAGCTGATGGGTTTGAATTGCTGACACTAGGGTTAGCAGTCCAGTGTTTACCCTACAGAACCACACTAGGAATCTAAATGATTGTTATTAAACATCTGCGAGTCAATTCTGACTCATAGTGACCCTGTATAGGGTATCCAGAACTCCTGGTGTGGGGCTATAGGATCAGTACTGGACTGTGAACCACAAGGTTGGCAGTTCAAACATACCAGCTTCTCCTAAGAAATCCTATACAGGGTCGCTATAAATAAGAACTGACTTCACAGCACTCAACAACAACATAGGGTTTCTGAGGAGCTGGTGAGTTTGAACCACCAACCTTATGGTTAGAAGTTCAGTATTTATCCTATAACACAATAAAGTTTAGAGCCCAAAGGAGCAACTATGAGCATCACTTCTCATTGGGACTAGAAAGTGGAATTTGAGCTGGACTGTGAATGTCAAAGGAGAGACGAGAGCAACAAGCATTTAGTAGCACAGATTTTGGAGTCAGACATGGTTGCATTAGGAGCCCTTCCAATAACAAATCTTGGGACCTCAGCCAAGAATTTAAATTATCTGAGCCTGTCACTTCATCAGCACATTAAGGAATAATACCACCTAATTCTCAGAATTTCTGTGAAGATTAAGTAAGGTCCACTTACTTTGCAAGGTTCCTGTGAAGGTTAAATAAAATAGCAGACATAAATAACTTGGCACAAAATAAACAATAAATAGTGGCTGTTACTAATATTTCAAGATAAACAGATTTTAACTCAGGCATTCCAGCACAGTGACATGAGAAGTTGTAAGGGACAGGAAAACGCAGCACCTAGCCAGGAAAAGGATGGACTCCTATGTTTAAGGGGACTGCTTAGGTTGGTGACTTCACAAGCTATGGAGCCAGGCAGATGTAACAGGACTTGTGAGTTTAGACAAGTAACTGAATCTCACCAAGAGTAAGCTTCCACGTTTGAAAACCAAGACTACTAGTGCCTGTGATAGTTAAGGTTTTGATTGGCCCGGGGTTCTGTGGTTTGGCAGTTGAGATGTAGCTATCCCTCATGTTGTGATTTAATGTGATAAACCAACAGGACGATTAAGGATGGGATTGTTGATATTGTGAAGTACTGTCAAGTCAGTTCCAACTCATAGCGATCCTGTATAGGGTTTCTGAGAAGGGGCTGATGAGTTTGAACCACTGAACTTCCAGTCCAGTGCTTATTCACCAAGACGCCAAAGGATGTTGTTGTTGTTGTTAAGTTCAGTCAGTTCTGACTCATAGCAACCCTGTATAAGGGTTTTGAGGAGCAGCTAGTAAGTTTGAACTGCCAACCTTGAGTTAAGAGCAATTAGGTAGGAAAACTATAAATAAGATACTACTTGGAGTGGGATCTAAAATAGTGGCCCTGAGGGCCCCATCAGGCATTTGTAGTGATTCTTTCTATTGACAGAGAAACATCTAGTTGAAAAATTTGCATCTCAGTGTCCTAGGTCCCTAGCAGCACAGTGAAGGGAAAAATGGATTTTTAGGGTTTAACAGCCAATATTTCTGATAGTGTAGTGGTTAAGAGTCAGGTTGCTAATCTCATGGCCAATAGTTCAAAACTACCAGAAGATCCTTGGGAGAAGATGAGACTTTCTGCTCCCATAAAAATTTACATCCTTAGAAACCCTATACGGACTCTCTATACCGACTCCATGACACATCACTACCTCCATCACTCAGATCTTTTGCTTCTGAGCTATATGAAAGAAGTTATTTGCTATTTCTACATACCAATGCTTTCATCCCTCAAATGATTGTGGCTAGGATTTATAAGATAATAAATATGAAGCAAAGAGCCTATGGGCTAACAGGTCTAGATCTAGATCAGGGTTTGGGAACTGCTGGTCTGCAGGCTGTATAAGGCTTATGAAATCATTTAGTCTGGCCCTGCCAAAGCACCACAGTTCTAGCCATCACGTTAAAAGTGAGTTAATTAAATTTTGTTGGATCAAATGTAGCAGGTTAATTTTTATTTTTTAAAGTTTTTATTGTGAATTATGTGTTAGTTTACATGGGTGAAGATTATCTTTACATTCATCCTATCGTACTTTGTTTCATTGTAATGATCACAACCCACAATCAACTGCATGCATCATCAAACACCCCACACTCCTGCCCCCTGGCTGCCAGCACACAACCCCTCTCCCTTCCTGAGTCCATAGTCCCTAGTCGCTCCTTCTGTCCACATTATTGCCTCTGCCTTCATCCCTAGTGTCACTGCCTCTCTGACATGGTCTCACACTTCACTTTTTTCCCTTGATGGTTCCAGGGATTTCCTCTCCTGGACTGCAAAATCAGCTGCTCCCCTCTTTCTGTTACCAAACATTTACATTTACCTTCCCAACCCTCACTGTCAGACCTGATAGCAGTCATTCCCTATCAAACCACAGTAGTCCTTTCCCCCTCACCTTTTATTAACCCCATCCAGACAGTTTAGAAACAATTCAGTGGAGGTTCTACCTTTCCCTGTATCCTCTGGAGCTAGGTTCCCTATTGAAAGCTTGTAAGCCAGTCACTTCTTGCCTTTGTAGTCCCCCCATTTTGGGTAGCCAATGTCTAAGTTCTCCTTCCCTGTCGACCCTGTGTACCAAGGGGGTGGGAATGATCCTCACTGTAGAGATACGTCTGCTCCTTTGTCATACTGCATCCACAAGCATAGGTCAAGATCATCCACTTATAGTGGGTTACTCCTTTTTTTCCCCCTCTTCTTTCTTCCTCTAGTCATGTTCTGATCATCCAGCCATTGATGCCAGGTTAAATGGGTACTATCTGCCAGTGTGGGTGTTCTTGTGCATCCCCCCTCACTTTATATCAGCTGAATGCTTCACACTCTGTTCTAGTCCTCTGGGGCCATGTCCCTGCCCCTGGGCTCAGGAGTCCCCAGGTCTCATCATACTGCTGGGTAACTAGGTCTCAATCCAGGTTAACAGGAGTCTGTTGAATGTGGTCAGACTTAGTTCACAATTTCATTGCTGTTTTTCCCCCTCTTCCCCTTATCAGTGACACAACAGGTTAATTTTTAAGTTGATAATTTTGTATGGTCCATGAACAATGTTCTAAATTTTCTAAAAAAAGAGTTCCCCATCGCAATCTAGATAAAATAATAGTTAAGTACATACATACATAAATGAGAGAAGGATACAACGATGTGTAACCTCACCATAAAGAGGTCAAATAACTTTCAGGATAAACTATTAAAACTATGAACCCATGTAAGGAAGATGACCAGTCACATCTGGGATATGATGTGGAAGATAGAGGGGGTTCAGCCATGGGAGTATAGAAAAGGTATGATCAGAGAGTGGACAGTTCCCATCAAGAGGGTGGCCTGGCCCACAACATGAGAATCCACTCCCTGAGGTGGGCAAGACTGGGCAATCCCAGCTCCATGACATCAGTAATCCAGTATGCAACAAACTCTCCTTTTGGTTATTCAAGAACCCTAGGCATCTTCTGATCAGATCAGGCTGAGTGTTGAGACCCTGGAGCCGTTATATCCTCTGGGTGGACAACTGATGCCAAGTGTCTGAACCTACAAAGCTGAGAGTCACACCCTGCAGGGACACACTGAAGTACCGTCTTCTGTGCCATTCAGCAAACATAGACCAGTGGTGTCCTCCAAAAGTCTGCTGAAGGGGCTGCACCCTCCCTGACCAGAACTCTCCCAGCCCAGCCCTCAGGATATCATGCCACACTTGGAAGTGGTCCCACAGAGCACAGGCCCAAATGAGCCTTAGGAAAAGCAACAGAGGCCTGTCTAGAAGCCTGTTTCGGGAAAACCAATTTTAGCCCAATCCAACCATCACCCATCTATTTTGAACCCATTCATGGGCAATTAAGAAACACACCACCCTCATGCTCCCATCAGTAATAATATAAAAAAATTAAGTCTCCCATTCTGTTGGAGAAATGGCCCTCTATTCTTTATGAACCAGATTTCTATTAAACTATAGTATCTCAGCACTGGACTTCAAACCACAAGCTTGGCAGTTAAAACCCTCCAGTTGCTCTTAGGAAATCCAATACAGGGTCGCTATGAGTCAGAACCCACTTGACGGCACTTAATAGCAACAACAATGGAGAAGTAGTAGCTTAAACAACAGTGCATTTCACTAGATCAAAGAAGTAACTTTTAGGGTTACTCTTGCATTTATTCACTCAGTTTATATATAAGTTCAATAAGTCAAAGATTTCTTTCAAAGGAAGTTTAGGGCTTTCCTGTTCTAACCTTGAGACCCTGAAAATAATATCAAAAACATGTTTCCAGTGTACCAAATACTGTTCTAAATTTGCTAGCTATCTTATTTATCACAAAACTTTGTGGGATAAAACCCATTTTATGGATGATGAAACTAAGGCTCATGAAGGCATCATAACCAACTAGATAAACCAAACCCATTGCCACTGAGTTGTTTCCAACTCACAGCAACCCTATGGGGCAGAGTAGAGCTGTCCTCTATGGTTTCTAGGCTGTAGGAGCCGTTGTTGGGTTCAAACTACCCACTTTTTGGTTAGCATATGGGCGCTTAACCACTTCCCAATTAATGCTCCTTAACCAGAAAGAAATGAGATTCAAATCTAATTGGTTTGAAGCAACAGGTCAAGCTCTTAACTGCCATACCACACTGCCTGGCATGAGAAATAATTAACTCATGGATTTAAGTTTCAAGAATGTTTTAAGCTGGAAGGGGCTTTAGAATGCCAAGTGCAACTGTTTCTAAACCTAACTGGTTATCAAGGAGTTTTCCCAAAGCAGAGATTCCCAGGGCTCACCTCAGCTTCTAATTCAGCAGGTGTGAGTTGAACTCAGGAATCAGCATTGTGGAAAAAGCCTTAGGTGACTCTGATGACCAGCCACATTTGAGAACTACCCATCTATGTTGTTATTAAGTGCCTTCCAGTCACTTCTGACTTATATCAACAGTGTGGGGTTTTCAGGGAACAAATGGTGGGTTTGAATTGCCAACCTTATGGTTAGCAGTCTGGTGCGTATCTTATAGCCCCACACCAGAACCCCCAACTCATCTATGCTAAACTCCTTTTTCAGAGGTGGAAAATGGCCTCTGAATAATTTTTCAATTTAAATAGAAACTTGAACCTCTTTCACTCATTATTGATCCATTCATTTGAACACACACAGAACTTCTACCATGTGCTAGAAAAGGAATTAGATGCTAGGGTATGAGAAGGTCATAGTCTAAGTGGCCACAAAGACTCAAGAAGGTTAATGAAAACCACCGAGATAAGAGACGTGATGTGATCAAAGTCCCCCAAGAATACAACAGGCTGTGAAGTCAGGGGAGGCTTTACACAAGGTGACATTTGTACTAGCTCTTGAGAGAGACATGAGACTTGTCTAATGGAAAAGGAGGGCAGGTGGCAGGGAGGGCTTTAAGGGCATTTTAGGCAAAGCTGTGAAAACAATGACCATGAAGAACATGGGATTCCACAGGAAATGGAATGTGACTGAAGTATGAATGTGGGGGACATCATGGTGGAAGATTACCTGCAAATGAAGATTGAGGCTAGATAATGAACAAGTCTAGAGCTGGCAGCTGGGGAGGAGGCTTGATCCTGAGGTTCTGATACTGTTTTGAGGACATCTGACCTGTGATAAAGTAAATCACTCTGGTGTGGAGGAGAGATTGCAGAGAAAGAATGAACAAATAGCAAATCGGAGCCCAAGCGGTAAAGGGGCCAGAATGAAAATATTGATAAGGATAAGAAAGAGGTGATACATTTAAGATAAACTTAAGAATTATAATCAGTAGGACCAGACAGCTAATTAGATGTGCTTAAGGAAGACGTGGAAAGAGAACAACTCCAAGTTTTCTGGATTTGGTCACTGGACAAAGCCCCTTAGTGACATAATGCCTGGTAGACCTTTTATTTATTTAGTTTGCATTTCACTTGGTTTTTTAGATTGAATTTGTCATAAGGAAAATTGTTGAATGAGAGGAAGTACTTAGAGTCACAACACATATTAGACACTGGAGAGAGAATAATTAAATCAAAGCAACAAGAGGCGGGTGGGAGACAGTCAGAGGGAGCCCACCTTTCGACAATAAGTCTAGAAATCTGGGGAAAAGCAAAGGGTTAGAAGAGAAACAAACTTCTCTTCAGCCCTTCCTCCTCCCTCAGGGCCAGGAGTCAGAATACCACTAAGTGAACAGGTCAGAACAGAAGGCTTCTCCCATCTCATGTCCAAATGCCACTTCCCTGCACCCTTCTCAAGAGTGGCTGCTTGGGCCTCAGCCAACAGAAGTGGAGGGGCTGGGAGAGAGGTGTCCAGAAGGGGACTCACTACTGATTTTCCTCTGGCTGGAGGTGGACAGGAAGGAGACACAGCTCAAATACTGAGCAACCAAAAAAAGATGTTGAGAAACAAGAAAATGAAAATCAGCTGGAGGCCAGATGGCCCTGTCCCAAATCCACAATTGTGCCTTGACCGGAAGGGTATTGGAAAACATGGTGTAAAAGCCAAAACGCAAAAAGGCACCAACACCAAATGAGAAGTGAGAGCCCCCAGTATCACCAAATGGCTGTTATCCCCTTCTGCCATCTGGAGCTGGTCACTGGCCCCAGAGGCAAGGGGGAGTTTTTAGTCTGTGATCCTGGGGCTTCTGACTTCCCTCATCCATAAAGTGGGACAACAATCTACTCTCTGTGGGTCCTAGCTTTACACACTGGGCACTCTTGCCGCTTGGGACATGTCTCCAGGCACTGATGAATATAGGACCAACAGTACACACACTGACCACACCTCCCCAAGTTGTCTCAAGATATATATTACATTCGAAGGTCCTGCCTGCCCTGCCCCGCTTGCAGTTTGGTTCTTCAGGGACAAGTCCTATGCCTCTTCTGCTACCACAGCCAATTCTATTTCTCCTCCCTGTACCCCTGCAGTGCACCCAAACACACAAACACACACCCCAGCAAACAAGAAATCGCCTACTGCCCACAATTGTTGTTCTGTGGAACCTTTTAAACATTGCTTACCAGAGCCCAAAGAAAGGTGTGGGAAGAATGGACATATTAGGATTTTTATGCATCTCCAAATAAAGTGTTTAATTCTCTTCTCATTTAAATTTTCTACGATTAAAGTAAATGCACTAAATTACCTGGGCAAAACTTTGCAAGACTTTTAGTATAACACTTATAATTTCCCTTTGTTTATTAAAAATATTTCATACACAGTATTTAGTGCATCATCTTTAATTTGTGTCACATTTCTTCACCTTAGAAAATATATTTTTTATATTTAAAAATTGGAATCTCAAAACTAATAAACCAGTGAGAACTGGAAATACAATGAGCTTTCTGAAAGAGCTCTGCCATCTTGGACATCAGTGAAAAACACGCTCTATTCAAGGTCAGCGGTTCAAGCTCACCAACTGCTCCTCGGAAACACTATACAGGGTCGCCATGGGTCCAAATCTACTCTAAGGCACTTCACAACAATTCACCGGAGCATCCTCTTTCTGCCACCTACTGGTAGCATACCAAAGTGAACTTTAAAGAGGCAAATGGAAACATTGCGAAGTTGTAAATGAAAGTTTGTGATTCGAGCTTACTGGAGTTCAGTGGCATTTATGAACTCTGCAAATATTTTAAATTATTCTGTTTTAGCAGAAATCAAGGTTTAAATAATGTGAGAACTGAAAATTATATCAAATAAAAAACAAGTCTGCTCTCTCAACCCAGTCTGAATCACCAAAAGTAGCAATTTAGACTGTGCCCTAATACTTTATGTTCGTTTCTAACTCATCAGACACTTTAATGAACCATACTAAAAACAGGAAGCCCCTACTTTTAGCAGAGATGTTCTCATTCAGACCAGATTCCTGCTCTGGGAGGGTCTGGCAGTAATGAGTGCCCCCCTGGGTACTAAGGAGGGAATGAATGTCCAAGACTGAAGGATAAGGAACATTCTCGCTGTTGTGTGTATCTGACAAGATATAATGGCTCTTCCTTTGGTTCCACAGATAATGCTGATGGAGAACATCATCCTTTTGCTATTGGCCACCTATTTTCTCCAGGAGGTATCGTGGAGCAGCCTCTGGGTGATAGTAGGTGTCATGTCTGGATTTCTGATTGGTAAGATCCCACCACTCTCCTGTCTGGTTTATCTACATTGAATCCCAACTTAGGAAATTGTCCACTCAGGCTCAGTTAAATGGAGACCAGGGAATAGAGTTCAGTGCACTGTACAGACCAGGGAATGAGACACTGAACTCAGCATACTTCTGCCTTGTTTGACTACTCTCCTAACATTAAGGCTGTCCACTTCTACCTAAATTGCCTTGTGTTAGGTGCCCACACCAGATGCCATCTGAGCATCTCAGGTGGCTCCTAAAACCTGTTGCCATCAAGTCAGTTTTGGCCACAGTGACCCCATGTACGGAGTAGAACTGATCCATAGGGTTTTCTTGGCTACAATCTTTATGAAAACACATCCCCAAGTCTTTCTGCCATGGTTCCGGTGGGTGGGTTCGAACCATCAACTTTTCAGTTGGCATGTGATCCTTTTGTTGTTAGGTGTTATTGTGTCAACTCCAACTCATAGTAACCCCAGTTGTTGTTAAGTGCTGTTGAGTCAATTCTGACCCATAGCGACCCTGTTATAGGGTTTCTGAGCAGTGACTGGTAAACTTAAACCTCCAACCTTGCGGCTCAAAGTGACTTTGAAGTCCAGCTCATTAACCCACAGTAGCACCACACCAGGACTCCAGGTGACGGTAGAACTACCCAATAAGGTTTTCTAGGCTATAATCTTTATGGGAGTCGATGACCAGGCCTTTCTTCCTCGGAACCACTGAGTGGATTCAAACTGCTGACCTTTTGCTTAGCAGCTGTATGGAACACCATAAATGTCCTTCAAGCTACTCTTTTACAACTACACCCACTCCCCTCTGAGTCTTTACCCTCCCATTAGCTCCTGGCAACCACTAATCTATTTCCCTTTTCTAGAACTTTATCATTTCATAAATGTTATGTAAATAGACCTTACAGTATGTAACCTTTGGGGACTGACTTTTGCACTCAGCACATTTCTCTGGAGGGAGATTCCAGGTTGTGGCTCGTATAACTCAGTAATCTTGCATTTTTTTGCTGGGTGGTATTCCACTCTGTGGATGTACCATTCACCCTTTGAAGGGCATCTGGGTGGGCCTGCTTAAAATAACAGTTTGAGTAACCAGTTATTGACTTCTAAGATGCTTTTGTACATATGCTGAATGGTCAGCTGAATGGATTGCCCATGGTATGATCTGCAGTATCTAGACTGTGCTCACACACCATCACTACATACACACAGTTCACACTGCTCTGGTTGTTCTTGGCATATTTCAAGCCAGCCTTCCCAGTCGGAAGGGATGAATGTGGTTTGAGACTTGGGATGAATGGGATTTGCCTGCTAGGAAGTCTAGCCACTCATTTTGACTTTCTAATTAAGAAGCAGTTTAACTCTGTTCTGTGAGCACAGTAGGACCTGAAGTCACACTGTCTTCTCTTCCCTATTTCTTTCCACGTTTCAAAAACAAATGTCTAAACACCAATCCTAAAATGTGTTTCCCTCCTGAGAGCTGCAATGCTGATTTCCAAGCTAGTGTCCTTCCAGTGAGAACTGATTTTCTCCCTCAGTGAGTCAGCCACACAGGGTAGGAGAATACTGTCCAAGACCAAGTGTCCACATTCAGGCCCAGGTGCTTAGATGGTTGGGAGGAGAGAGATCAAATAGAATTAGGGCTGCCTCTTCTCATCCCTCTGCTCCATAAATGATGCCTGTACCGCTCACTCCCAAGTGTCCCATATAAAAGCCCTCAGTTGGAAAGACTGCATTAATGATAGTCACACAGACACAAAAAGCTCACATCTTCAAGCCAGGCAGCTCTGACTCAAATCTTGTCTCTTCCATTGTCTTTCTTTCTTTCCCTGACAAACATGTATTGAGTGTCCACTGCATACTAGCCTGGGACAACAGCAATCATTCCAACAGAGGAGGTGGCCTCATGAAAAATAAATATTCATTAAAAAGTTGTACTTAGTACTTGTCTGATGACAGACAGCTTAGTTCCTCTTTCTTGATGTTACATTGCACACTTGTAAAGGGGGTGAGTGATACTGATCTCACGGTAATTGTTAAGGATTTAAAACAAAATGCAAAGAGGGTGTGAACCCTGCCAGTTTCAGAATAAATACTGAACGCACAATTCTGTCTCCATTTCTTCAAGTTCCAGCCTTGTCACTAACTCTTGGTGACCTCAGATCTGCCTCTTACCTCTCTAATCCTCATTTGACATACAGAAAGTACCCATTGTGATCATCTTTCAGCTTCCTTCTAGCTCTTTCTTAGAAGCCAGTTAAGCAGTCAGTTACTAACCAAAAGGTTGACAGTTTGAACCCATCAAGAAACTCTGTATTAGAAAACGCTATGGTTTGCTCCCATAAAGATTATAGCCTAGAAAACCATATGAAGCAAGAGCAGTTCTGTCACATGGGGTCACTATGAGTTGAAATCAACTCCAAGGCACCTAACAACAACAACAATAGCTCTTTCACGCTGTGATTTCCTGGCTCCCTCAGGTTATTTTCCCCAGAACTTACTTCAAGTCTCAGGCTGTTTATAACAAGCACCCTGAAACAAGGCACTCCATCCAGTATTACAGGAAACTGGAAATAACGTGGGAGGATTACTGGAATGCTCTGGTAAAGAAATTATTGCAGTGGTCAACACTTCTGATCAAAATAAATTAAACTGACAACAATGTGATTAAGATGTTTATGTACAAAGGAAGTGTTGTTGTTGGTCATGGAAATTCCTTGATATGGGGTTTTTGATGAGCATGTTTAACCTCTGCTTAGGTCTTATTTGTTTTTGAGACTACTTCCTACCCACCCACCTTTTGGAATTTATCAACTGATGTGTTGATGGTTGAATTCTGAGCATTCAATCTAGTTGTTTGAAAGTCGAGTTAACCTTTTTAGCAAACATCTTATGTACAAACACACAAGCACGCATATCTAGAACATGCAATTGGAGCTACCTTCAAGGAAGAAAATCAGTCGATTTAAACTTTGTTATTAACTTTTTAAATTTAGACATTTTTTTCAGATTATAGAAGTTAGAGTATATTTAAATCTACCCCCAAATATTTCCATTCCAATGTGCCCTAAAGAGTCCAATATAGCCTTTCAAATTATACTGCTCTATACTTGCAGTGAAAATCTGCAAGCCACAGGGAGGATCCAGAGCTTCAAAGCATGTAACTTTGTGCTCTTTTTTCTTTCTCAGGCAGTGTCTCGCTGGTAATTTATTACAGCCTACTGCATCCCAAATCCACAGACATTTGGCAGGGCTTCATTAGGAAGTCCTGTGGCACTGCAGGTGGTGATAAAGCAGAGAAAGAATCCAACAGGTTGGGGAGTCCGAACTTGTGCCAAAGGGAAGGCTCTGAATTGACATGTCTGGAAACATCCCCCAGCCCAGACTGGGGCCCTTCAGGTGCTGATCTGCGGAGCCAAGTTACTGAGGAGGACTCTTTCCTGAGACACCACCACTGGCTGTTGGTGAAACTTGCCTTAAAAACCGGAAATGTGTCCAAAATCAATGCAGCCTTTGGAGATGACAGTACTGGATGCTTTTGCCCCCCAACATGGCAATCGAGTCAACAGTATAATCAACAGAGAAAACTTTTCTTTTCCCAGCAAGAGTTCCCATCATCACCCCTGGACATCCAAGCCTTAGAGAAAGTCTCTGATATCGAACGTGTCCCTAAAGCAGAGGCCGAGCCCTTGGAAACCTCAAGCTACGTCTCTTTCACCAGTGATCCTCACAACAGTGTGCCTGCTCAGAACTTGTCAAGTAGCCTGAAGGAAGGAACTGTGGTGTTGCCCTGTGAAGCCATAGTCACTGTGGTCCAGGAAAGAACTGTGAGTGAGCAGGCCAAAGAAGGGGAAGCACAGGAGGGTCCCACTCTATATTTCAGTGCCATCCTAGAAGGGGCCACATCTGTACACCAAGAAGGCAAGGCAACTCCACAGATGTCCTACTCTGGAAGGAGGATGGGAAAAAGTAACCCTGCCCAGCCTGCCTCACCTCAGTCGGTCACTAAACCCTTTCCTGTCACCATGGCTAATATTAGCCCCATCCTAGGCACTGGCCCAGGAAAAACCTTCCGCCCCAGTACAGGCTTCTCTGGAGGGATCCCAGGTAACTCAGAATGTGGAGATCGGCAGGAACCTTTGAGGGATCTAACTCATCCTGCTGCAGTAAGTATGTGGATGCCATTCCCAAAGACTAGACTGAGACCGGGGGATGAGCCCTGCCTCACTTCAACCCCTAAGTCTGAATCCATCCAAAGGGACTGCAACTGGAAGGAAAGGTGGAAGCAAGAGAGGAGTTTTTTCATCTGATCAGAATCATGGTGAAATAAGACAGTTGACCAGAAAGCCAAACAGATCAATGTGTCACATAGGAGAATTGATCTGGGTTTTAGATCTTTCCTTCTTCTGACACTGTATCCATAGGCTAATCACTTCTCTCTCTGTACCTCCATCACACCATTGAAAAATAAGGCAATGGGATCAGAGGCTTCCTAAGATCCCTTTATGAACACCATATATCACACATAGCCACATACTACAGTGTTCTCTCTCATGCGGTATAGGAGGAAGAGAAAAGACTTCTAGTCAAAATTGCCTTTTGTGAGCTATATCACATCCTTTTGTCATATTTTTGCTGTGGCTTCTAGGGAATTCAAAGGCAAAACCCAGAGTCCAATTTCATTCCAGGTTCTCATTAGCCAAGTTAGCGTCTCCTGTCACCCAGCGGTTATTAATGTGTCTTTTCAAAGATTCATTCTTGTGACATTATTTTATAAAATCTCACAGTTGTTACTGTTGTTAAGTGTCATCAAGTCAATTCTGACTCATAGAAGCCTTATACAGGCTAATGTAAATCCTTTTAAGTCAATGAAAAAATGTATGGTTATAACCATCAACATAAAATGACACTGAAAATACAAGTGTCATTCTGAAATTCCCATATCACTTTGGAAGTGATATTTTTCTTTTAAATACTCAGCCCTCCTTCCCACAGGTCTGCTGTGGTTCTTTGCCAGGCCCCTTCTCTCTGCTACTGACTTTCACTCCATTGCCTTTATCACCAAACTGCTCCCATCTCAAAGCAGTTGTTACTGGTAATTTAACTCATCTCATGAGAAGGAATTAAATACCCCATTCCTCTTGTACTCTATTTTGAACTCATCACCTTAAAATTACTCTGTGTGAGAAGGTAATTGCATAATTTCCTAAGCCTTCCTTTGTAGCTGGTTAAGGAAGGCCCATCACAAACCATCCAAGAGAAAGAAAGTCAGTATATGGAAGGTTGGGTGCTGTTTAGCAGTAGTAGTTTCTGACTCATCCCAACATCTTTGGGTTTGAGGACAATATTACAGCCCTAAGGAGTCCCTAAGGAGCTCTGGTAGCATAGTGGATACAAATTGGGCTACGAACCTCAAGGTCAGCAGTTTGAAACTACCAGCTGTTCCACAGGAGAAAGATGAGGCTTTCTGCTCCCATAAAGATTTACAGCCTTGGAAACCCTGTACAGGGTCTCTATGAGTCAGAACCGACTCCACGGCACACAACAACAACAACAACAAAGAGTCCCTGTGTGGCACTGTAAGAGGTGGTTCAAACCAACCAGCTACTCCTCAGAAACCCAATACAGGATGGCTATTAGAACGAATTCAATAGTACTTAATAGCAATAAGGAGAATAAAGAAGTCCTGAAGATGCATTCTTAAGTGCTTGGCTGCTAACAGGAAGGCCAGTGGTTCGAACCCACCAGCCGCTCTGTGAGATAAAGATCAACAGTCTGCTTCCATACAGATGACAGCATTGAGAGCCTATGAAACGGTTCTACTCTGTCCTCTCACATTGCTATGAGGCAGAATCAGCTTGATGACAACAGGTTTGGTTTTGAAGGAGGATTCTTTAAGTTTAGAGCATGCTAAGAGTGTGGTGGCTCTGAGGATAAGCCCTGGACTGTGAACCACAAGGTTGGTGGTTCAAGTCCACCAGTCACTCCATGGGAGAAAGATGAGGCTTTCTTCTCCTGCCTTGGAAACTCGATAGAGTATTCTGTTGATATAGAATCAGAATCAACTCAACAGCACTTAACAACAAGAGCTTGTGCAAACATTTTTTACAGTAAGTATTCAGACAATCAGTATCCCCATTTTACTGACAGTCAGAGACAGTAGATGGGTGGCAAAGTACTTTTGGTGTACCTGGTTAAAATAGAGCAAAGAGAGTGTATTGACATACAGTCTTTCACAGTTTCTCTCACAGTATCTATGTTACGATTACAGCAGTTCCTCCTCTATCTGTCTCTCACCAAGCTAGACCTCTTGGACCTCTTCCTTGATTCCTAACTGACCCCTGCCTCACATTCTATCCCTCAGCCCTTCTAAGGAGTGATGTTTAAAAGCTTCCTCTACCCTCTTGCCCTCTGCCCCAGGCTGTAATCCATGGTACACCTCTGTAATTCTTTGTCCTCTAGTGATCTTCCTAAAGTGAAATGGTGGTCCTTTGAGGGCTAATGACTTGACATTACACAGTTCAAGTCAGCAAGTCCTGACTTGAATTGTATAATGCCAGTTCCCAGCACAATGCCTGACACAACATTTTGTTGCATTGGATGTCATTGAGTCAGTGCCTAATGCACAACAGAATGAAACACTGCTCCGTCCTATGCCATCCTGACAGTTGTTATGTTTGAGACCGTTGCTTTTGTCACTGTGACAGTCCATCTCATTGGGGTCCTTCCTCTTTTTCACTGATCCCTCACTTTACCAAGAATGATGTCCTTCTCTAGAGACTGGTCCCTCCTGATTATATGTCCAAAGAATGAGAGACGAAGTCTCACCATCATGGCTTCTAAGAAATGTTCTGACTACATTTTTTTCAGCACAGATCTATTTGTTTTTCTGGCAGCCCATGGTATTTTCAATATTCTTCTCCAACACCATAATTCAAAGGCATCAATTCTTCTACAGTCTTTCTTATTCATGGTCCAACTTTCACATGCATATGAGGCAACTGAAAATGCCATAGCTTGGGGTCGGTTTACCTTAGTCCTCAAACTGGTATCTTTTGCTCTATAACACTAAAGAGCTCTTGTGCAGCAGATTTGCCTAATGCAATACTTCATTTGATTCCTTGACTGCTGCTCCCATGAGTATTGATTATGGATCCAAGTGAAATGAAGTCTTTGACAACTTCAATCTTTTCTTTATTTATATGAATGTCATTTATTGGTCCAGTTTGAGGATTTTTGGTTTCTTTAGATTGAGATGTAATCCACTCTGAAGGCTGTGGTCTTTGACCCTTATCAATAAGTATTTTACATATCACAGGTTTTTAATGAGTCTTCCTCCAATCCTTATGCCACTTTCTTCTTCATATAATTCAGCTTCTTGGATTATTTATTCAGCATACAGATTAAATAAGCATGGTAAAAGAATACAACTCTGGTACACACCTTTCCTGATTTTAAACCATTCACTAATCCCTTGTTCTGTTTGAACAATTGCCTGTTGGTCAATGTACAGGTTTCTCATGAGCACAATCAAGTGTTCTGGAATACCCATTCTTCTCAATATTATCTACAGCTTGTCAACATTCACAGTTGAAAGCCTTTGCATAGTTAATAAAGCACAAGTAAACATATTTCTGGTATTCTCTGCTTTTCAGCCAAGATCCATCTGATATCAGCAATAATATCCTCTTGTGAATCTGGCTTGATTTTCTGGCAGTTTCATGCTGATGGGCTCTTGCAGCCATTTTTAAATGATCTTCAGCAAAATTTTACTTGCATGTGAAATTAATGGTATTGTTCACTGATTCCCGTATTTCATTGGGTCACCTCTCTTGGGAATGGATACAAATATGAATCTCTTCCCATCGGTTGGCCAGGTAGCTGTTTTCCTTATTTCTCAGCATAGATGAGTGAGCACTTCTAGTGATGTACCAATTTGTTTTAAATTTTCAATTTGTATTCTGTCAATGCCAGGAGCCCTGGTTTTTGACAATACCTTCAGTGCAACTTGGACTTCTTCCTTTAGTATTATCAGTTCTTTATTACCTTTTGAAATGGTTGAACACCAGCCTTTTTTTTTTTTTTTTTTTTGGTACAGTGACATGTGTGTATTCCTTCCATCTTCTTTTGATGCTTTCTGCATCATTCAATAATTTGCCCAGGGAATCCTTCAGTATTACAAGTTGAGGCTTGACTTTTTTTTCTTCTTCAAGTCTTTCAGCTTGAGAAATGCTGAGTGTGTTCTTCCCTTTTCGTTTTCTAACTAACTCCAGGTCTTCGCACATCTCACACCATGGCAGAATGTAGGCACTGGGAAATAACTGGATAAATTAATTAGTTGGTGACTGCTTGAGTCATTAATCATGGTTTTAGTGCATGTCCTGTAAAAAGGACATCTGTGTCATAAGGAAAAGGCAGGGCTGGGATACAGAGAATTAGCTTATTCTTCTCAAATTGACCCTAGAATAGGCTAGCTAGAAATTCTTCATTTATTTATTTATTTATGGAGCATGGTGTACATGGTGATGGTGGTTGTGTGCTGTTGAGTTGGTTCCAACTCATAGTGATCCTGTCCTGTATAGAATTTCTAAACTGTAAATCTTTACAAGAGCAGAAAAACCTCCTGTTTCTTTCATGGAGCAGCTTACGGACTGGAACTGCTGACCTTGTAATTAGCAGCCCAACGTGTAACTCCCTAAGCCAGCAGACCTCCTTTTCTTCAGCATAATAGACACAGGAATCCACGAGGTCTGTTCTTGTCATCAAGGGACTCATAGACAAGCCTGAGCTTCTTGCATGGCTCTCTTCATTTCATGCATCCAGAAAGTGTATCCTTGGTTTGTGAAAAGGATCAGGAAAAATGCAAGTATTTATTAGTGAAGACTAATAAAAGGGCTTTTTTTTTTTTTTTTTAATGCTAGTATCACTGAGTGGGAGGCACTAGAACTAAAATCTTTGCACAAGGAAACTTATTTTATGTCCTTGGTCACTCAGCAGGGGGAATGTGTCCATACCTTTAGCCAAGGCCCTTCTGAGGCTAGCTGCAGGAACTTGTAGTTTTGGTTACCAAGGCATATAATGGCATTTCTGGGGTCCTAAAGGGCTGTCCTGTGGAAGTGGGATTTGAATTTCTCCCTGCCTAGCCATGTAAGCCACAGAGAAACACAACAGATCTGTAAGACAGAGTTAACCCAAAGTCAACAAGTCATCTCAGGACTCAGGAGTCACACAGTTCTCTGGAAATGTTCAAACAAAGTTGGCAGAGCCACTTAGCAAAATGACTATGGAGTACAATATTTAACTCAGTGGC